ATTTTATTTTAATTTTGAACCTTTTTAAAAGGGTCTTTCGGTTCCATAATAAAAATTAGTTGCTGCTTACTAGAAACATTCTATATAGCCTAAACCAATTTATAGTTTGTTTTCGATCAATTTAATACAAAGATTTAAAGTTTTTAGTCGATGATAACATTCCACACCAGCACATTGCAAACCTATTTTATAAATAATAGGAATAAACTTGTAAATCATTAATTTGGTAGTTATCTCACTCATATGATTTTTTTGTTTATATGACTATTTCTATTTCTAAATATATTTTGGCCTTACAATACGAAGCGTTTTGTATCTACCACTTTTTTAATGAACGATGAATGTTGGCAGGCTTGTACCTTTTTCGGAACAAGAGGCGTTTTAACGAAGGAAATGATTTTCGAACTATCTAGTTAGTTTTCGGAAAAATAGAAAACGTTTGAAGAAAGTTGTCAATAACAGTTTGTCGTTCATGTGTTTCATTTTGATCAGCTTTCATAATAAATTGCGTAGAATATTTTTCCGATTCAAAATCGAGATTCTCGATATTTCCACAGTTTATTTATAATACCTTCTAAACTGGATTTATCTATCATTTTATATACTTTATAATATATGTTCATGCCCTACTTTTCACTTTATTAACAATTTTTTTTTAACATACTTCAAAATGGTATGATATTCTCAATTCGTTGAAATATTTTTTTATGTATGTTGAGCGATAATTCTTTACCACGTTGCCCGATTTCTAGGATTATTTTTGTTAGAAAAGGAAACAGTTTTATATACATTAAGTCAAGATCTGAAGATGGGATCCATAAGAAAATGATTAACATCTTTATTTTTAAAGTAGGTTTTTTTTTAAATTTCTTTAAACCTTACTGGTTCGAACGCGGTAAGGAATGAAGAAATGTAAATAATTGTTGAGCCAGCCAAAAAGCGAAGAGGAAGTACCGATTAAAATATCGAGTGACAGAAGAGTTCCTAAGATTGTTGAGATCGGGTTTATGTTTTAAAATGCCTTAAAACCGATATCGATAATGTCTCCCCGTTGCTGGGCAGCCTGTATATAAATATACAGCTCTCTATTTACATAATTATAATTCTTAGGTAGGTTTAGATTTGCAGACATAAATCTTGTAATAAATATAACAGCTGCCTAATACATTGATTACATTTTCATTAGCCAATGTAAAAATGTCTTTTATTGTACCTAGGATTTGACTAAACACTACACAAAACTAAAAATAAAATGCCACTTTCATCGTGTAATTAATGTCGCGTTTGAGAATCCACATCGGATGCATTTTTTACATCTCGAGCGTTTTTTATCCACATCGGACACATCTGTCCCATTACATTTACGTATACTGAATCACGTGATCAAAGATTTACTACTTACTACATCTCAGATGCATCCGATGTGGATTCTCAAACGCGGCATAAACAATAAACTACAAACGGTCCTGTAAGGGCAGCGTCATATAGCCTTGAAACACCGGATTTTAGTGCTATTGCCAGGTCAATATTGAATTTGTAGGTGAATCGCTTATTGAACATTAAAAATACGGTATTAATGACATTAATACGGTATTTGTATATATTTTTGGGAATGTAATTACACATAAATATTATTAGTTGATTATTTAAATGTGTATAAGTTATTTTGTGGCGATATTTCGTAGATATAAACTGTTTAAATCATATAATTTAAAAATTAATTAATTTAAAATTCTTTTCTGTTAGGTATGTTTAATATATTTGGCAACACTACAGGGACAAGTCATGCATATTGCGCAAGCTTCTAGACACACTATTTTGCGATGTCAGGCGCAGAGACGCGTTTTTATGCACAGTAGGTTTCAATTTCTGCTTAAATGTTATGTTTATATTGGTCTTCTATATTATTTCTATGCTTTTTGAACATATTGGGTTTATCACATTAACATTGTAGTTTCAGAATAACACAAGTTTAATGCAGAAAAAACCTAACTTCCGTAAACATTCTTAGTTATATGACAATTTAAAATTTTCGTTTGTTTCTGAAACAGCCTTAATCCTGGTCAACTAGGAATACTGCACAAAATTATTCAGAAGGTCCTGGTCGACCTTCGAATTATTTTAGAAATTCGGCGGGTCAGTCACCTAATTTTATCTCCGAAGAATTATTTAACTCTCAAACAGAACCTCTATATAACTCAATGGTTAAAAACCCTGAAAATCAATATAAAAATAAATATAATGATAATAAAGGTCAAACTCCAAATTTTCGGTAAAGGCCTCGGAACAAAATCCCGTATACATTTCAATAAATTGTGCAGATTTAAGTGAATTACCCTATATAATTTTCCCTGAGCATAATTTAAAAATATTGGTGGACAGTGGATCCTCAAAATCATTCATTAACCCTGAGGTCGCTGAACGATTTTACCCCAATGATATAATTGATGAACCATTCGTTGTGACTACAGTTTTCCAAAAATCAGCACATAAACATAGTGTAAATATAAATGCTTCTAAAATTTTTAATCTTAATAATAATAATGAAAAATTGAAATTCTTTTTATTTAAGTTCCACAATGTATTTGATATTATTATTTTCAACAAGGAAGTATTGTTACCCCTTTTGCAAGTATACCATTTTATTATCATGTTGATGCTTCTAATTACTCTAACTATAATAACACAGTCTTAATTGAACCTAGAATTCAGCAAATAATTAAAATAAAGACCTCGATTCAAAAACTATTTGTACTCTAACAGAAATAAAACTAGGTTTAAATACATATTTCTAATTTTATCAAAATTTCTAAAATTACATAAAAATTTAGACGTAATAGATAGAAGGAAATAAAAAATTTTTAAATTCAAAATAAAAATTCTAATTCTAATGACAATTCCATTAGTAGACTATGCAGTAAATTAAATTATGGTAAAAATGTAACAAAAACAAGAGCCGACTCCTCAGCTCTCTCAAAACATTTAGTAGCTTTAAGAAGTAATTTTAAAATAGTACATATTGATACTTTTACTTAAAAAAAAAGAAAACAAAAATTAAAAAAATTTAAAATAAAAATTATTGACAGTAACTGATTTTTCTAAATATGAAGCATATTATTTTGATTTCATAAAATAAAAATACGCTTTTGATTACATACTGAATCTAATGGAAAAATAACGAATAAATCAAAAATTAAATAATTCTAGTATATAAAAAATCTATTCATTCTGCAACGAAACTAAAATCCATTGACAATATATTATGGTTTATTATCAGTAGACCATTTAATATAGATTTGGAGAGATTACTTTTAAATGATTATGTAAATCAACATAAAAGACAAACAAAAATATTATACACTAAAATAAATGAACTCTTAAGAGAAAATAAAAAAGACTATGTCGAAAAAATTAATACAGATCGTGAAGACCCCAAAATATTTGAACCTTACCCCACTGCATATATTAAAAATACAAAAAGGCAGAAAAGTGCTAATAAATTTCAGAAACCAATTGCTATTAAATCAGTAAATAAAAAACGAAAAACAGTAACCACTTCAAAACATGGCAAAATACATACAGTATGGTTCAAATGAAAGGAATAAATTCATTATAATGGAAGTAGCTGGTTTTTCGAAAAAATGCTCGGACAGGTCAATTTTGTTTACTCAAAGCGCAATTTTTTAAATAGAATTCAGTTTTCCCCCACTTCCCATTTTTGGGCAGTGACGTCATTGACAATTTTTTTAAATAGTAACCTCAATTTTTTTTTCTTGATTTTGATAGATCTTGAAATTTACTACTCGGAAACATAATATTTGAAATATCTTACATAACAATTTTTTTTGAATAGAAGACATTTAAAGATCAGACACATAAATTTTATTTTATTTTGAGAACACAATAAATGAATAAAAGATAATTCTTTGTAATTAAATGCTTAATCTAACAAAATAATAATAAAAATAATCATAATAAAAAGAATTTGTGAAATTGTCATTAAATTCTTTTTATTTTTATTGTTATTATTATAATTATTATATTTTTTTAGATTAAGCACTTAATTACAAATAATTATCTTTTATTCATTTATTGTGTTTCAAAATAACATAAAATGTATGTATCTGATCTTTAAATGACTTTTTTCAAAAAAAATTGTTGTCAGATATTTCAAATATTATGTTTCCGAGTAGGAAATTACAAGATCTATCATAATCAAGAAAAAAAAATTGGGGTTGCTATTTAAAAAAATTGTGAATGACGTCACTGCCCAAAAATGGGAAGTGGGGGAAAATTGAATTTTATTTAAAAAATTGCACTTTAAGTAAACAAAATTGACCTGTCCGAGCATTTTTTCGAAAAACCAACTACTTCCATTATAATGAATTTATTCCTTTCATTTGAACCATACTGTATAAGTAATATCAAACGCCCACTGAAAAGACTTTATTCTTTCGATAACTAAATTTTATCTTTTCAGGTTACCTGGTGTACTAGGACTACCAGACACAATAACATTAAAAAATTTATGTGAAAATCCCGGACTTTTACCCTTAAAACTTGGCAATGCAAAAGTAATTAAATATTATCATTCAATAATTTATTATCTAAAAATCTAACTAAGTCAGTTCAACAAAATAAAGATTATAGGACAGAAAATTCAAATTATTTCAAATTACTACACTTTTTAGAAGATTTGAGAAGGTTTGAGATTTCATTTCTCGTGTTAAGAAGTCGACGTTGCCAGACTGCAAATTGCTAACTAATGGGAGTAATGAGTTCGCTGCTATTAAACTAAAACATAAAATTGTCCCAAACAACAATATACTTAATTTTTTAGAGCAACACGAACGAACCTTGTGGATTTTTACTCGTACTATGATCAATTTTAGCCATTTTTTTTTGAGAGTAGGAAACACCTTGATACTAGTAATAGAATATGGATTTGAATATTTTGATCAGATAGAAATAAAAAACTTTTGTAGAAATTTCCTACTTACTCATCAAATACTGCAAAAGTTGTAGAAACAGGTGTACTATGCACTTTTATATGTTTTCTTTCCTCCATATTTACTTGTATATTATCTAAAGCAGGATCATATTCAACAAATGGTAATTTAGCTAAAAAATAATTTAATAAAAATTATTATTGGTGAATATCAATCCAAATAGTCTTTATAATAGAAAACAAAGCCTTAATTTCAAAATAATGTAACGTAATGCCATAAAGTATAGCATACTTATTAACAGAGAATTTAAAACATGATTAATATCCCAAATGTGGTATTCTCAGCAAGGAAACGATAATAATATAAAATCCCATCTAAATACAATGGAATCAAACTATATAATAATTCAAACAATATTAAATAAAGGGTGATCAACTCATACTCCGGAGTTTAATATCTCCGTTGTTTTGAGAGGTACAAAAAAAGTTTTTAAATACAAATTATAGATAAAGTCCAGCTCCACATTTTAAAATTATTTCGTAATATACAGGGTGTTTCATAAAGTCACAGCATACCAAAGTTATGTCGTTATCTCGAATTTGAATTTTGCTCACCATTCTGGCAATATAGGGTTTTATCAGGTTCTACAGGGTATTCTTTTAAAGAAATGGCCTATTTTATATAAAAATCTTAATGAAATCGCCACCCTGTATTTATTTAGAATCAACAATTGAGGGTTAATAACTTAATGCCAGAATAATTTCGTAGTAGTCTAGTTTTGTTGCAACTTATCGTGTGTTTGATATCCTTCATTTTATATACAGGGTAACCCAAAACTCACGACCATGATTTTAACGGTTATTTCAAATGGAACACCTCGTATCTTATATCATTTTCATAAACTACTTACAAAATACTTTTACTTTTGTTAAGCAATGGTTAGAAATGTGGAGAGGTTATTTGAATATCGGATACAAGATACAACTCTGTTTAAATATAATGGGAGGTTATTTTGAGCAGTTATTGTAATTATTTTGTTCTAAGTATTATTTCGAATTTTTTGTTTGGTTAATAGCTTTTAGTATTTATTAATGAGTCTTAGATTAGATTAGGAGTTGGACGTTATTTGTCCTTATCCACCGCGACCTTTTCAGATCTATTGTAGAACTTAATATGTCTTAAAAAATCTGTAGTTTTATTTTTATTTTTAGGTTTATAATTAACGTATTTTGCAAGCTGTCAATTGCCAAAAATATCGTTTTATTATTAAAAATCGAAAAAACTCTACGACTGTAACATTTAGGTATAGGGAATACTTAACAAAAGTAAAAGTATTTGATAAGTAGTTTATGAAAATGATATTAGATGTTCCATTTTGAAATAACCGAGAAAATCATGGTCGTGAGTTTTGAGTTACCCTGAATGTAAAAGAAAGATATCAAAAACATCATGAGTTGCAACAAAACTAGGCTATGTAACCTACCGCACCCAGGTACCTTAATAATTTATTAATTCCATTTATTAAATATATTGCATTCTTATTAAATTCAAAATCCTTCATTTAACGGAAAATCTTCCAGAAAATTAAATCTTATTTATGACACCTAATAAATAATATCTATAACCCTGTCCTTAATAGATCCACTTTTCGTGTGCGTGTCTGGGAATCCAGACCAAGAAACACTTGACACACTTAAGTGCGTTTCAATAGTAACGTTGTTTTTAATAGTAACGTTGTTTTCAATACACAAAATTTTCAAGGAAATTAATAAATCAGCCATCACCTTTTCACCCAAATACGTTTTTCGCTGGAAACTAAGACATACAGAGACGTCACAAAGTCTTTAAAACTAGTATAAGAAGCCAGATCCAAAGCATTCATTTTATTATTTTACATTCAAGCAATCACTTTATTATTTGTATCTAATTATATAGTCAGTACCGGTCCTAAACGCTCTTCCTAAACGACGTCTTTCCTACAATACTTCCTATCCCCGATGGTGTCAACGTCTCGACGCCCAACGACCCGCCGTCCTACTTCCCTACCTTTCTACGCTATCACTTCTAACACCACTTTAGTATTTCCTACCATTATATTCATCCCTACGCTCAACGTCTTGACGCTAATGTCCAGACGCCCTACTTCCCTACCTTTCTACGTCTCGAACGCTGTCACATTCCGCACCATCTAAGTATTTCCTACCTTACATTCATTCCGACGCCCAACGTCCCATCGCTCTACTTCTCGACGCTTGCCGCCCTTAAGGTACAGTCTCTTTTGGGCGTGTAGTCGAGACGTTTACACGCGGCGCTTAGTCACTTACGTCTAGACGCACCTGATGTGTTTACGTCGTCACCTTAAGTAATCGACTAGCCGCCAATCAGTATTTTTATTTCGTTCGACAAAGATGACTACTAGTGAACTTGTGATTGCAGCACAATTTCTAATAGAAGCAGAAGACGCTGATATTTTACTATTAACATTAATGCAAAAAAGCGTAGAAAGGTTCATAAAATGTGTATTCAAAGAATAAAGGAAGGGTGCTTTAGTTCGCTAATAATGAGACATTTAATTGATGACAAACTAAATTCAAAGAATACTTTAGGCTTACCAAAAGTCAATTTAATAAACTGTTAAATATTGTATCAATTGATACAAGAAAAATTTCTACTAAATGCGTTAAAAGGTCAATTACAGCAATGGAAAAGCTTGCCCATACTTCTTTCTTCGCCCTAACTGCTAAATCAGACGGGAAGATCATAACTGTTTCAGTCATGCTAGCAAAAGAGACCGTACCTTTAAATATTTCCTTCATAATATCCTTGTCGACGCCCTTTGTTACGTCCAGCACCACCTAAATATTTCTACCGTATATCTGTCCCAAGACAGTATCGTAATAAATACCTTCCTCTCCAACACGACGCTAGGCGCCTCGGCGCAGTTCAACGCTGCGACGTACCTAAATCGACGCCGTTACAACGCTAGATTAAATTAGTACATAATCTAATGTCTGTATTTTCAATGGTGAGTCAACAGATTTATGTAACTTTCTTTTAGATACCACCGAAGTCGTTTAGACCAGGGCCTGACATTTGCTTCAAAATATTATCAATGTAACCAATAAACCATATGGCCTTCAGTCGTTCACCCCGAAAGACAGTTATGTTAGTCATCTGTTTTCGATAGGGGAATTTAAGTTAATAGAACTTATAAAAATCAATATTAAGAAATATACAAGGTTGTATTAAGTAATTTCAATAGAAATTATAAAAATCAATATTTTAGAATTATACAGGAATGTGCTATCTTGGATAAATTGTACAAACCAAGATGGTAAAATATAACAATAAGTTAACCAATTGGTGAATACACTGTTCGTTAGCTCAAGGGGGACACCTATATGCTAAGCCACCCATTCTACAAGGTTAGAAACAAAGTATATGTGAAAACCACATAGTAAGGTAACCAACTGGCGAATTGGCGCTGTTCGTTACCTCCGTTGGTCATCATCTCTATACTTGTCGAAATATTTACCTAAGAGGGTACATACTGTGTATATCTAGAATAGAATCAAATCAGCATCAACACAGTAGTTAACCAACTGGCGACTTGGCGCTGTTCGTTAACTCCGTTGGTCATCAACCCAAATAAAATAAATATTGATAGCAAATGAACGTGGTCTGCGTTTGAACGGGACTCAAGTGAGATCTCAGTAAATAGTAACAATTGTAACATGTATACTTTGCTAATTATTGCATCACAACTACTACGAAATTATTCTGGCTTTGAGATATTAACCTTTAATTGTTGATTCTAAATAACAATTTCATTATTTTCACATAAAAGTGGCCATTTCTGTAGAACCTGATAAAACCCCATATTGCCGGAATGGGGCAAATGAACAAAATTTAAATTCGTGATAATACATAGGGCGTTCTACTAAAAAAACAATTTTGGTATGCTGTGACTTTATGAAACACCCTGTATATTACGAAATAATTTTAGAATGTGGAGCTGGACTCTATAATTTGTATTTAAAACTTTGGTTCGTATCCCTCAAAACAATGGAGATATCCAACTCCGGAGTATAAGTTAATCACCCTGTATATAAAAACTAAGTTCTTTTAAGAAAAAAATTAATAACACTCCTTGAAATGAAACCCATCATTGGAAACTATCCTTGTATATATATTTAACATATTTACAAGAGATATAATGAAAAAAATACAATTTTAGAGTCACAACCTAAACAATAATAATGTCAACTTCTTAAGTAACTAGGGTTTTTTTAAGAACGAGCGGAGTCTAACACATTATTTCAGGTTTCAACCACAACACTCCTTATGACATTATATTTTTATAAAAAATAACTATTGTTTAATGTACAACGCCTTATTTTAGGTCTGACTTCATCAATTATAATACAGGAACATTTATAGAATCCCCATAGTCTGATACCACCCCATTTACAGTTTAAAAAATAAGAACAGTATTGGTTTGTACAATTGAGAGCAATAAGATGAAGTATCTCCTCTGCTACATTAAAGTTTTCTTAAATAGTTCACACCAGTGGCGGCTCGTAAGTTGTAAGGGAGGGCTGAGAATAAAGGCAAACAATATAAAAAATCATTTAGGTAAACTTAAGCTGCTCAATACGAGACATTTTAATTCCGTTACTTTCATGATAAATAATTATTACGGAGATAATTAAATAAACAACACCACACTAGATCAACATAGCAAAACAAACCACAAAGCGATTGCCAGATGGGCTGACTGAACTGCGCTCAGCAACGCATGCAATCATGCATCCAAAATGCATCATTTCTTCCTACTACTCCGCGATCTACACGTTAACGTCGGTAACCGTCCAGCGATTCGCTATGGGCTACTGGTACTATGCCGATACAATAATTATATGAAAGAGAAAAACCGTATTATTCCTATTCGTATTGTACAGTTCCGGCTCGTCCGTAGCTAATTAAATTGTTTGTTCACAAACTTTATTATTGAATTTATTTGGGTTTTACTCCACTTTCTTATTTGATTAATTTGCATGCAAACTCAAGAATTTATTACACATTAAATTATGCTCAGCCTTAACAATATTGACACGTTTTTTCAAAACATCCTGCAAATACAAATGTTAAATAACGACATAAACACCTTGTGATTTTAGTAAATTAAATTAAAAAATTTCACTCAAAAATATATTTGTATGTAGCAAAAAGTATTTACCTGTTTTTAAAGCACCTAATAAACTAACAATACAGGCATCTACGACTGATCCATCGAAATCTAAACATACAAAATCAACAAAGAGACACCACACTAACTTATCTTGAAAAATGCATAAATCATTTAAATCGATGCATTTGGAATTTTCTATAATATCTGCTATAAGTTGTGTCAGAACTTGTGCTTGATCACTTGGAGGTCCTGGTCTAAATTTGGGAGAACAAAGTGGAGGTAGCTCCAAATTTGGAACCAGAAAGCCACATTTTGGTGCATCGGGTTTAGGTTTACAAAGTTCCTAAAAATAATAAAAATACATCAAATAATAAAAAAAAATTATCACAGTCAAATTAGATTATTGAACAAAAACTTAAATGATTGAATATGATGAATAAACTGAAGATTAATTATGAAAATGTGTCGGTTTAAATTGCCGAAACAAATGCTAAAGAACTCAGTGAGAAATCGGGACGCGGAAACAAACCAAAGAAAATTTGAAAAATTGAAAACAATTCTGCTCTAGGTGGGGCTCGAAACCGCGACCTCTTGATGTTTGTTCCATCGTTATCAGTGTTGCCAGAATATATTTTTGTAATGTACCAGATTTATCTAAAAAATGTACCAGATTTCATAAAAATGTACTAGATTCTATAAAATTACCAGATTTTTCTAATTATGAAGTATGGTCATTAAAAAGCAAAAAAAGGTTTATAGAGAACACAAACACAACAATTTTAAACAATATTTTATCTCTCGACAAATTTCTGACACTATTTTATCTCTCGAGCAGTTTTTGAATAAGATTTTAATATCGATTGATACTCTTTTATCTCTCGAACAGTTTTTAAATCTTTTTTTATATCTTGAGCTATTTTGAAACAATATTTTATCTCTCGATAAATTTCTAACAGTATTCTATATCTCGAGCAATTTTTAACAACTTTTTTTATCCCTCGAGGCTCGAGCAATGTTTGTACATTTTTTGTAAAATTTTTAACACTATATCACTCGAGCAATTTTAAACAGTTTTTTTATCTTTCAAGCTATTTTTGAACAATATTTGATGTCTCGTGAAATTTATGAGCAAAATTTTAACAATTTCTAACACTATTTTGTCTCTCGAGGAATTTTTGAAAAAGATTTTAATACTTTTTGAGCTATTTTTAAAAAATATTTTTTCTCTTGATAAATTTCCAACAGTATTCTATCTCTCGAGCAATTTTTGACAACTTTTTTTATCCCTTGAGCAATGTTTGTACAATTTTTAACACTATTTAATCACTCGAGCAATTTTTAACAGCTTTTTTACCTTTCAAGCTATTTTTGAACAATATTTGATCTCTCGTGCAATTTTTGAGCAAAATTTAAATAATTTCTAACACTATTTTATCTCTCGAGCAATTTTTATTAACATTTTTTATCTTTCTAACAATTTTTAAACAATGTTTTATCTCTCGAGAAATGTTTAACAGTATTTTTTAATTCTCGAGTAATTTTTGAATAAGATTTTAATAACTTATGATACTATTTTATCTCTCGAACAATTTTAAAACCTTTTTTTATCTCTTGAGCTATATCTAAACAATATTTTATCTTTTGATAAATTTATAAAAATATGTTAACTCTCGATAAATTTTTAACAATGTTTTATATCTAGAGCAATGTTTGTACAACATTTTATCTCTCGAGCATTTTCTAATAATATTTTATCGTTCGAGGAATTTTTAAACAATGTTGAATCTCTCGAGTTCCAATAGTAGGTATCTCTTGAGTCAATTTTGAACAATATTTTATTTCTTAACAAATTTTTCAATAGTATTTTATCCCTCGAGCAATATTTGAACAAGGGTTTAACATTTTGTAATACTACTTTACCTCGAGCAATTTTTGAACACGATTTTAACAATTTATAATACTATTTAATCTCTCGATAAATTATTAAATATTTCTATCTATCTCTCATTAAATTTCTAACAGTATTTTTATCCCTAGAGCAATTTTTGAACAATATTTTACCCCTCAAGCAATTTCTAATACTATTTTATACTTCGACCAATTTTTAATACCCTTTTTTACCTCTCAAGCCATTTTTGAACAATATTTGATCTCTCGTGCAATTTTTAAACAATGTTTTATCTTTCGAGAAATGTCTACTATTTTATCTCTGAAGTAATTTTTTACAACTTTTTAATTTCTCTTGCAATTTTTGACCAATATATTTTACACTTCAAATGGAAACATACGCTGAAAAAAGTACTAGATATTGTTTCGAGTGTACTAGAGTACCAGATTCTCAGAGAATGTACTAGATCTAGTACAATTGTACTAGACTGGCAACACTGATCGTTATAACCACTAGGACACCAGAGCTTGTGTATATAGTGTCATATTTGTTAATTTGAGTATTTAGATTCAATCCCAACTCAGTTTATCAGAATCTTTTCCAACTGTAAAACCCTTCAATGGTCACGTATAAGACATCATCGAGGATATATCACATCACGTGCGTTTAAAATACTCGTTTATTCCAGGTGTTAAAGGGGTAACGTTTTTAATCTTTCTTTTTGCATTTTTTATGTATTTGATTTTCAAGAATATATTCCAAATTTATTTTTGATTCCTCACATAATTTGCACAAAAAACGCACAAAATTATGGTGTTATTCAAATTAAAATTACTTGATAAATAATAAAAAGTTGTGCTAACTTTACGTTAAGCTAGCACAATATTTAATTACAAAAAAAACTATAAATGCACAAAAATCGTGAATAGCGCACCAAAAATTGCACATAATTATAGATAAGGTTCTGATTGATTGTGCTAAGATCGTTGTGCTAACTTTACATACCTCTCTAATGTACCATTGGTTTTAATAAACAGATTTCAACTGTGTCGTCAAAGAAAAAAAAATCTCCAAATTTCGATTAATGAAGATCTCTTCAAGTCTATCTAATTTATCAAATTCAGAATAGTGATAAGTCAAGTAAGGAAGACTTCTATAATATGGGTACAGGGTGTCTAATCTAAATACTAGTAGAACAAGAACGATAAAGGACAAAAGCTGTCAAAAATACAAAAAGAGAGGCAATACTGCAATGTTAAAAATTTCTTTTTAAATAATAATAATAATAATAATAAACCGTCTTTATTGATAATTTTTCAAAATATTACAAAAATTTTAGTAATGGAGCGAGATTTAGCCATAGGCTATTCTTCCATCTAACTCCTCTTAATTTAGAACATAGAAAGTATTAAGATATATTAAAATGTTCAAATGTTGAAATGTTAAAATACAATACACAAATAAGGTTAAAACGGTAGAAAACATATAAAAACAATAATAAAAGTAATAAAATTAAAATAAATTTAATTTTTTTTTTTTTTTTTTCTTTAGTGTACGGCTTCAACATCTAAGGTCATTAGCCTAGAGTTCTATGTAGGTTATGGATTGTACTAGTAGTCTAATACTCCATAGTGTAGAAGTATTAGTACTCTAATACTCCTACACCCCTACAGACAGGCCTTGTTACTGTTTCCTTGCGCCACTTTAGGAACAGCACTGTTAATTAGAACCCAACAGTGAATGGTCGAGTGGGGAATCCTACCAAGGCATCAGAATTAATTTTAAATAATTAAATTAAATAAAAAAATCCCGGCCAACGGTGGGATTCGATCCTGAGACCTTCCGATCTCAAAGTCATGACTCTAACCACTGAGCCAACCCACCCCCAAATTTAAATTTTAAATGTAGGAAAAAATCAAATACCTCATTTTATACTTAAAGTTTTTTAATGTTTTTAGCAGATATATATTAGCTATTAAAGAATTTGCAATTATTATATAATTTTGTTATATGATTGTTTTAATGCTCTGTATCACAATAGACATATGTAATGAACTAAATATAATGCGAAACCTTTTACCTCTCTTTTAAAGTCAAATACATTATAAATTTTCATTGCAAGTTAACACAGTTTATGTCTCTCACCTATTTTTGTCCAGAAATGTCAGTAAAGCCTGGGAGACCCTGTATGCATTGATTTTACACTTTTAGTTTACAAACTATGTTTTTATCATAAAAACCTAATTACAAACTTATACTTTTATACCGGTGTGAACTTGGCAGCCAATATCCCGAAGATGCCCGAAAGACCAGTAGTGTCTTTAGAGAGGTTAAAACTTTAAAAATCGGTATACAAGTAAAAAAATAATATTATAAACAATTTGAGACAAGTTTTATTTCCTTAAGAGGCGTCTAAGTTAGTTCAAAGGGATAGCAGCCCTTTTTGAAATATTGGAAAAAGCCATTTGGTGAGAAGAAAAAGTTAACACATTACTTTTATTTTACATTTTTGCAAGACGAAAAAGTAAAATCTGGCCCTGCTTCTGTTTATATCAGGCGTAAATGAAAACTGAATAGACTTAAAAAAAAAAATAGGAATAAGGCCTGTTTTTACTGTTTGTTTAAATAACAAAATAATATGTCCTTCTGTTATTTTTTAAAAATGTAAAATAAAATGTATATAAAATTTCAATTTGATTAACTTTTTCCAAAAATGTAGGTAGTTATGTCATGCTCTCTAGTGCAATAAACTACAACTTATAACTAAGGGCAGTGTTTACATTTTTTAAATAAATCATAATAAAAAAAATTATCTATGTATCCCCTAGCTTGGTTCGATCATGTCTGAGTTTTGGGAAATGAAAAAGTGGAACCCCTACATTAAACTATTAACAAATAGAACTAAAATAATTTTCTTACTGCTTTAATCCCACACACAACAGTAGTATTGCCTACTTTGGCAATAGCAGATCCATCTGCTGTATCTATTGATCCCACATTAAGTAGAATTGGTCTAAACTTATTAAATTCTCTACCATCAGGACGAATTCCATGTGCTAAGTAATCTCTATAGTATTTTATTGGATGTAACGATCTGTAAACATATTCCTAGTATTAGAATGAAATTTATTTTATGGAAAAATTGTACTTACTTATACTGTTCCGCCATTCTAGAATTAGTAATCACATAAAATTGTCAATGAAAAATTATTACAAAATTTAAATTATTCTGGGCTCATGTGTTATAATAAAATAATAACCTAAAAATATTATTTAGCAGTTTTTAGTTTTTCTGGTTCTGGTTTTTTGTTTACACTTTTTGAAACGACAGTTGACATATAGGAATAAGAGAGAAATCATAAAGGCTGCGTTCATCCGCGCCACATGCTACCTGATCGATCTGGTAGCGCTCTCGAGTGGCACGTATGAACCCGAGAATACCGATCAAGGAGAAGCGACAGTAGCTGTCGGTGCCTTTGATATCGGATGGACCTTTTTCACAGTATGACTTTGACTGATACACAACTTAGCACGCTGAGAAAACATGCTTATTTTCTACACTGAGCGAAATAGTTTGGCAAATTATCTGAAACATTGTTATAGTCCATGCGCAAATTATGTTATGTGATTTAATTACATTGAAGTAGTTAGGGTTAATAGCAATGGTGAAATTTCAGCACCAAAATATAATGCATTATATAATAATTACTTATTTGTTATAAAAGTAAAAGACGTTTATTATTTTATAATTAATCTATATAATTTGTTTAATATTTGGTTTATTTATATATTTATTGATAAAGTAATTCACAAATTAAGTGATGCTAAATGGTTGGATATGACATGTAGAAGAAGACTTCATATGGCTACTCTGTTTCACAAAATAATTTTTGTCTAGGGCTGGCACTGTATGCCAGCTCTATTTTGCAGTGTTACATTAGGTGTTTTTTTACAATTATATTTTTTTGTTCCATATTCTGTGTAAGCTGCAAATAAATGAATTTATTATTATTATTGTAAAAAATGTAATAAAAGCCCCATATTTAAATTAAATCACCTTTTCCTTAAGTAAAAATAAGGTAAATAAAATTAAGGGTACCAAAAAAAATTTAGGGTAACAATTAAAAAGACATTAAGTTTGAGAGGTTTAACTAAATATTTGCAATGTGCATATATTTTCAAAGCTTTTAGGTTTAAAAAGTACTTACATATTTTTAGAATTTCTGGATTCATATTATATTAAAAAGACTTTCAAGTTTATTACTCATTTCTGTAAAAACAAGTGTTTTCTCGCAAAGATAAGCCAGATGTCATTTAAGGTTTATGTATTTAGAGTTAAATCACTGGCCTGGCTATCACCCAGACAATACAAATATGTCCATTGGACGTCGTCCATTCGATATATAATGAGTTTTTTCTGGACTTCCGACATCCAATGGACGTTTAGTGAAGTATAAAAATGGCACACTTTTGACCATTCAGAGGACGTCCAATTCTGGAATATATTTGGACGTCGAATACTGGACATTCAATTAAAGATCGCTTGACCTGAGCAGGAATTGTACTCACGACACATCCATTTTTTATTGTTTACTATAATGGAATAAGATTTCAAACTTTCGGTGATAGAATGAAATGCAATAGATTCAATTTGTCAATTTTTAATTACCAATTATATTAAAAAAAGGAAGTGTATATAGATGGGAATTAGGCTTAATAAATAATGACCTAAGATGGACGTCCGCTGGACGTCAAAATACTACTAAACTTAAAATTAAGTCCAAAACCAGATGTTCTCTGGGTATCGATATTCAGCTGTCAAATTAATTAGCATAAACGGACGTACACTGGATGCCCGGATATGGACGTCTTGACCCTCAAATGGATCTAAAATGTACGTCCATTGGACTATGTGTGCTGTCTGGGCATAGACGAATTTTTAGAAATAGTACTTATTTAAGTATGTACCAATCTTTCCAAAATCAACTCCAGTATGATTCATTCAATAATTATAAATATGAATGGGCAAAACATCTTTATATTGACATAATTGTAACTTACAATTTAGCCATAATAAGGGGATTTCGCTCATTTTGACAAATCCTAATTGAAACACGCGGATTTATTATATATTTTTTTTTTTAAATATAATTTCAAAATAAAATAAACAAAATCTGCAGTTCATTCTTTATTAAATTTATTTAAAAGAAGACAAACATATATTTCAGAAAATTCAATACCTACATATGAAAAATAAATTGTCAAAAATGATTAAATCATTATACTTAATATTTATACATGTGATAAAATTCTTAGTTTCCTAATAATTTTTTTGGCACATTTTATATCTGTATTAGAATACCTAAGTGTGTAAAAAATCTTCATCTCATTACTACACAAAACAAACACTATGAAATATCACTTAACATTGCTCACATACTAAACACAACTTGGACTGACTTTGACAGATAACATCATTTTGAGTGATACACAACTTATTTTCGCACATGCGCATTACAAAACGGTTCACTGAAAACACCAAGCTGTCGCTTCTCCTTGATCGGTATTCTCGGTATGAACGGTTTATTTTGACATTTCGCTCAAGGAGCGGCCGCCATTAAAAGTAGCGCATTTTATTTACGTCTGATCGGTGATCACTGATCTGTCTTACGCACTTACGTCCACGGTTTGCTTGGTGACTAGTAGGGTTATATTAGCATATTAGCAATTGAAAAATAAACCAACAAATCTTCAACCAGAGACATTCAACTCAAAAGTAAAATGAATAAACCAAAATCAAATGTCACTTTTAAACATGGTTCATCCGTGCATAAAGATCGATCAGGTAGCGTAAGTGATCGCTACTTTTGTAGCGCTCCTTGAAATGGCGCGGATGAACGCAGCCAATAGCAAAAGATAGCAATACCAATGACATAGTTTATATAGACTGCTCATCAACGACTGTAACGATCAAGGAGAAGCGACAGTAGCTGTCGGTGCCTTTGATATCGGATGTACCTTTTTCACAGCATGACTTTGATTGGCCGTGTTCATCGTCGTCAAACATGTTGTAACGCTGAGTAAGCGGTGACGATGAACTGTCAACCGCTGCAGCGCTTTTGAAGAAGCATAAAAGCGAAAATAAACTCGCTTGTTTGCTTTAAAAGCATAAAATTGACCTTGAACCCCTGTCAATTCCGTCTTTTGGCATTTTGTTAGGTTATGTGTTTGTTTATTTATATTTTTAAACCCTAATAGAGTTGATTAGTTAAGTTGTATTTTAATATAATATTGTATTTATGGAGGTACCTGTTTGAAGAAAATAAAATTAATTCCAGACGTAGATATATACACGTATGCTTAAATTATTTCATTTGGACGTTAATGGGATTCCACCAGTAAGGAATATGGATAATATAACATACCTACATGGTAGTTTTAGCACAGAGTTATTCAAAACAGACGAGTTTTGTTATTAAAACTGCACCGATGTTTTTTGTTGGCATGTAATTAATGTATATAGCGCATTAAAAAATAAATAATAATAAAAGTATGACATTTTATTTACAAAATAAATTAAATATAAGTAATTATATTAAAAAGGGCCCACCTTGGTTTGTTGAACCTATAAAAAAATACCTCATTACTGTATACATTTCAAATAATTTTTGCTAATAAGTCGCTCTACCTATATGACAACATTAAATTTGTATATTTATTAATTTCCAATACAAAATATATCATTCCTATAAAACAATTACTGTATGTAGTTTGTCGACAAGGTATGTATAACTCTATAATACTATACAAATTTTATTAATACATAAAAATAATTCAGACTCAATGAATATTAGCAATGACCAAAAATGTATAACACCTAAGTACCTACATAAAAAATACTTTGTAAAAAAATAAGTGAAGCATTAGATAGGGATTATTTTAACAATTTTCGGTTTTTATAATAAAACTTTATCATTTCTTACCTCACAGCAAGAAGCCTGTAAATTTTAAAAGGCATAACAGCAATTTTTCATTATTTTTAATGTAGAATAACAACAGTAAGATTTTAGTAAAAGTAAAACAATAATATAATAAAAAATTTTATTAAAAATAAGTGAAATAACATAATTTTATGTTAATTTATTAAAAATTAGAAAAGCGAAATAAAACTTGTTAAGTGGGCTGATTTTCTATATTTTAGTTTTTAAATGGGAGTGAAACTGTTGACGTGACTTGTTTATGTTATGCTTGGCTTTCAATACTAATACCTGAAATTAGGTAAGTTTTTTCACTAGCCCATATTTATAAGAGATAACTCTTTTTTAATAGAATGCTTTGCATCATATCACCTTTTCTTTTAAAGCAGGACATTCTTGCGTTCTTTGGGGACAATGGTACACATAACTTGAAAGTGGGTTTGTCTTGCCTAAAGCGGGACTTATGATGTTCGGTATTATGACTCAAAAATAAAAGTTTACTTCAGGTTCATTTTCATTTTTATCTCTTCCTCCTTTTTCGATTCAGTTAGTTTTTAACTGGTTTGAGACACATGCCTCAAGTTCTGGGCTGGAGTCCAGTTTAAATGATTACTAACTTCGAAGGAACTCTGTTTCCCTTAAAATAAGAAAGTCATACTTGATGTCTCTATTATTATACACTTTTATGTATCCTTGGTATATGTAAAAAGATCACTTTTTGAGATGTATGTTATTAGTATCATGAGTTCCTTTACTTTAATTTATTGGTGCAGACCAGACAGTTGATTAAACACAATACACAATAAATAGCATTCTCATTCTGCTCTTCAAAGTATGATCTAGTTACAGTATGTTTTTATTTGTGTGTCAAAAAAATGTATTTTACCTGTAATAAAATGACTATTACAATTTCTTTGATTAGTCTAAGTATGTAGAATTCAAGATCCATAGAGGCAATAAAAACATCATGACTTTACAACCCAAAATAATACAAGTTGTAGGTTTTTCGCCGTAAAATTGTCAAAACCACTTTCAGAAGGGTACTTATATAAACTCTAATTCACTGTACAAATCAATTAAACTCAAATTTTTTAAAAAAATACTAAAGTAAACAATTCACATAACCTTCTTTGTGCCAACCAAATGTCATTCCATTTTTGACAGATTTGAGGTTGTTGAGAAAACAAATCGTAAACAAAAATGATCGTTCAGCGTCATTCCAACCGCTTATGAAACATGTTTCTTTGCTTTTAAAACATGTTTGACGACGATGAACACGGCCATGATACACAACTTAGCACGCTGAGAAAACATGCTTATTTTCTACACTGAGCGAAATAGTTTGGCAAATTATCTGAAATCATGTTATAGTCCATGCGCAAATGTTGTAATGTGCTTTAATTACATTGAAGTAAGGTTAATAGCAATGGTGAAATTTCGGCACCAAAATATAATTCATTATGTAATAATTAATTATTTATTATAAAAGTAAAAAACGTTTATTATTTTATAATTTATCTATAAAATTTGTTCAATATTTGGTTTATTTATTGTTAAAAATGTAATAAAAGCCCCATATTTAAATTAAATTACCTTTTCCTTAAGTAAAAATAAGGTAAATAAAATTAAGGGTGCCAAAAAAATTTAGGTAACAATTAAAAAGACATTAAGTTTGAGATATTTAACTAAATATTTGCAATGTGCTTTTATTTTCAAAAACTTTTAGGTTTAAAAAGTACTTATATATTTTTAGAATTTCTGGATTTATATTATATCAAAGGACTTTCAAGTTTATCACTCATTTCTGTATAAACAAGTGTTTGCTCGCCAAGTTAAGCCAGATGTCATTTAAGGTTTATGTATTTAGAGTTAAATACCTGGCCTGGCTATCACCTAGACAATACAAATATGTCAATTGGACGTCCATTCGATATACAATTTTGGATGTCTAGACGTCCAAGAATGAGTTTTTTCTGGACTTCCGTCATCCAATGGACGTCCAGTGAAGTATACAAATGGCACACTTTTGACCATTCAGAGGACGTTCAATTCTGGAATATATTTGGACGTCGAATACTGATCATTTAAAAAACGTCCAGAATTATATTTCCATTGAGACCTCATCCCCACTTTTTTTACAGATCCGCAACTTACCACACACTATTTTATATTATTAATAATTTGTTTATTATTTTCGCAAACCGCTATACACCAATTATTTTTTTTTTATTAAAAATCGCTTGACCTGAGCAGGCATCGAACTCACAACACATTCATTATCATTTTACCCTTTCAATCGCTAGACGAGCTCGACCAAGGAACCACTTGAAAACTTTTTACTAGATACAGTTATAATTGAATAAAATTTCAAACTTCCGCTGATAGAATGAAATGCAATAGATTCAATTTGTCAATTTTTAATGACCAGTTATATTAAAAAAAGAAGTATATATTATAAATAAGTATTATCTGGTAGGCTTAATAAATAATGACCTAAGATGGACGTTTACTGGACGTCAAAATACTACTAAACTAAACTATGTGTGCTGTCTGGGCATAGACGAATTTTTTGAAATAGTACTTATTTAAGTATGCACCAATATTTCCAAAATCAACTCCAGTATGATTCATTCAATAAATGTAAATATGAATAGGCAAAACATCTTTATATTGACATAATTGTACCTTACAATTTAGCCATAATAAAGGGATTTCGCCCATTTTGACCAATCCTAATTGAAACACGCGGATTTATTATATTTTTTAAATATAATTTCAAAATAAAAAAATAAACAAAATCTCCAGTTCATTGTTTATTAAATTTATTTAAAAGAAGAAAACATATATTTCACAAAATACAATACCTACATATGAAAAATAAAATGTCAAAAATGATTAAATCATTATACTTAATATTTATGCATGTGATAAAATACTTAGTTTCCTAGTAACTTTTTTGGCACATTTTATATCTGCATTAGAATACCTAAGTGTGTAAAAATCTTCATCTTATTACTACACAAAACAAACACCAAAAAATATTACTTAACATTACTCACGTACTAAACACAACTTGGACTGACTTTGACAGATAACATCATTTTGAGTGATACACAACTTATTTTCGCAAATGCGCGTTAGAAAACGGTACATTAAAAACACCAAGCTGACGCTTCTTCTTGATCGTTATTCTCGGGCCTAATTCCATAGAAAGCGGGTCGAACAAAGTCTAAATAGTACATGCATGTTTGTGTTTTGTCTCAATTGTGAGTGTTTTTACAGAACCGGTTTAGAAAAAAGTTTAGTCTAGTTCAGATTTTGTTGTCATTGTTATTGCTCAGTCGAACATTTTAATTTTACTTATGTTCTGTATTAAGTTTTTTTAATTATTTGAATATTTTGTGGATAAAGTGATATCTATTAGTGTTTGACTGCGAGAGTTTAAAAATGTTGGTGTGGTACCTTTATTTAAAATCCAAAAAATAGTAGTCATTTAATATATATAAAAGTATCCGTCCTTCATTAATTTTTTTAATATCTATTTTGACAATACCGTGATAAATTTTTACTTAAAGCCAGTTTTTTAAACGACTTTTGGTTAAAAATTTGGGCGTAGCACCTCAAAATATTCACTTCTGGTGGGGGCCTCCGACAGGGCTTCTATGGCGGGGTTTTCACATTTGTTAAAAATCTGGCACTATCATCTCGCATTATCACGAGCCGCCACTGATAAGATTGCACTTTGCAGTCGATTTTATTATGATGATCAGATTTCCACTGGTGCAAGCTTATTATGTACCGGAAATATTCCTTTAGAGTTTTATTTTTGATTTACCAAATCATTCACATTCACCACCGAAATAATCCATAATTGTCCAATGTCCAAAGGGAACAAACTTTAGAATGCTAAAAAGCTATTTACTTCTAGTAAAATCTTTAAAAAGTACATTCCATTGCATACCTGTTCTTAAAATGCGAAATAAATTTTTAAAACAGTAATCAAGTGTTTAAATAGTGCCACTATAAAGGCTCAAAGTTAGTTACATGCAGTATTATTAAAGATGTTTATACAGGTGTGTAAAATTGTTTAAATCTATGTTCAAAATTGTTTAGATCTTTTAAAATGTTTTGAAAATATGCAACTAGACTTTACGACTCAATCAAATAATATAATATTTTTCAAAATCGCAAGCTCCTATCTTGAAGTAAACATTTTGGTAATTATTTTTTTTAAATTCAATTCCTACTTTGATGACTTATGTTTTATAATCATTTGGGCCAGACCTATTCTGCTTGGTGAGCACTCGGCAAGACATAGACTGCAATTTGATTCGCTTTTCGTTGTCTTACATATGGATAAGCAGTCTATATAACTTATATATGTCATTGATCCAAAATAAATCAATTTAGTTTATTTTAAATTCAATCCAGTTTCCAGTTATCAAAAAAGTAAAAGCATCGATAGTTTCTTTGTTAATTGTATTGTTCATTTATATATTTTCGTTTATTTTCTAGTTGTATGTTTTAATAAATCGTAAACTAAAATTTTAAATTTAAATACAAGAAAGATATACGTTAGTCATGTGACAACAAAAATAAGCTCGGATTGGTTTGAAAATGAAATGAAACACATGTTTCTCAACGGTCTCATATCAGCTGTTTGATTGTTTGATAGTTTGCCTGATTCGAGTGATCTGAGATTCGGATTTTCGTTCTTATCCTGGATCCCCGCAAAAATCGTTTCTTCACTAATGCGGGTCGGAAACCGTTGGAAAGTTACCGGTTTTTTTTCATAAGTTCGGATATTATAGAAAATTTGGTTTTGAATTAATTCGTTTACTTCCGTACGTAAAATGGAAACAATTCAACATGGAAATAAAGAAAATCGTGTAACTGAAATTCTAAAGCAGAACGCTATGGCGGTGCGCCAAAAAAGACCATTAGGATTGAGTACAAGAGATGTAAATATGCCGATGGTTAAAAATCAAATTAAAGGGAAACAAGTAAGTGCATCTTTCTTTTTGTTAATTATTTAGCTTTTTAATAATATTGTTTTTACAGCCATTGGGATTGAGACAAAAAGATAACTTGGACAAAGAAAATATTGAAAATGTAAAAAATAAAGAAAATATTTTGAAAGATCAAAAAGCCAAATCCGAGAATGATAATTTTAAAAATATTGTCAATCCCATTGTGCCTTGCAATCAATTTAAGGCATTTAAAGTATATGAAGATGAAAATTACACTGAACGTTTAGCTAGAATTGATGAAAAGTTGAAAAACAAAGCTAAACATTCAAACCTACAAGTTTATAAAGGAACGACTGAAGACAGCAAATATTATACTAAGAATGAAATCGCTGAACTGGAAAGAAAAAGCGAAGAAGAAAGTTCAAATAGTATCTTAGAAAATACTTCTAAAATTGAATCCGCTAAGAATATTATACTTGATAATCAGATACTTGATATTTCGATAGAAGAAAAAAACGGCAAAGATGCAATTCTTGTTGGAGAAAAAAGACTTAAAACACTTTTCTTTGAACTGGAGGAATACAGATCTGATATTTATCTGTATCTTAGGGAACATGAGGTAAGTACAGTATTACCATATGTATATTTTTGAATTTAGAGTCATTCTCCTATAAAATTAATAAAAAATCATGAAAAATTCAATTAAGACCCAGGAAGGATTTGACTTTCGGTCTGTTGACGAATTCAAATTTGTGTTTATTTCTTCTATTGGATTGTTTTTAGCTAACATGCCTCTGGAAGTTTGATCACAGTGAAGAACTGTGTTATGTTTTCCTTGGCAAACTCTGCATCTTCCTAATCTACATTCATTTGGGGTATGATTAGAGCATAGGCAATTTGTACACAAATTTAATTTCTTAACCTTTTGAAATCGATCTTTAACATTCAAACACAACAAATCTGGGCAGTAACACAATAAATGATTTTGCTTACACAAGATACAATTTCCTTTTATTTGTTGGTTTTTAGTATATAACCCTTTCTCAGTTTCCCTACGCAAGTCTTGAGTATGGGTATCGCGATATTTAAATTTTTTATCTTTTAAAAAATCATCCTCTACGTCCTCTAACAACTCTGTCCTATTTCTAAGAAATTCAAGGAAATTGTTAACTACGACTTTGATCGTTAAGCTTTTTTATATTTTTTCCATTCTTTCTGGGAAAAATTGTCTAATTTTTTATAGCAAATATAGATTAAAAGAGAATTCCAATTATCTACCGATTCACCTAACTGTCTTAAACATTCTAAATTGTTTGTTATCGTATCTAAAAAATCTCCTATTTTTGTACTAGTAGATCTTTCTATTTGTTTGTACTCGCAAATTGCCTTTATATGATTTTGTATAAGTTTATCGCTATTATCGAATTTATCACAAATTGTGACCCATGCACTATCATAATAGTTTTCACCGAATTCAATGCTTTTTATACATTGCAAAGCCTTACCGGATAGAGACTGTCTCAAATAATGATACTTCTGTATTTTACTGATTTTTGAATTAATATGGATAAGAGATTTATATTTATCTCGGAATTCCATCCACTGACTGTTTGTGCCATCGAACTGAGGTAAAGGGATAGAAGGTAATTGTACCTCACTGTCATTTAGTTTAACCGTTTTATTAGAATTTTCTTCCTCTATTTTTAATTTTGAAAAAATTAATTTTGCCTTAGCAATTGTTTTATAATACTTTCCTTCTTTACTGTTTTTAATAATTTTTTGTTCTTCCACTAAATTTTTATCAGTTACTATTACAAAATCATCTATTTGATCTTGAATGTCTAAAAAATTTTTCAAAATTTCTGTCATAAGTTGACAAACGTGTTTCAATTTCAAACTTTACTAAGTATTTTTTATCGTTATCAAACGATTCAACATATATTAATTCCGTTTCTGTTATTTCAATTAAATTTTCGAACTGATTTAAGTTGTCTATTATTTTTGTACGCTTTTTAATTAAATTTTCTAGTGCCATAATGACTGAATACCGTATGAACTGCAAATATTAGCAGACTATAATATTAAACCGTATAATTCCATAAATTAAGAATTTGAAAACCGTATGATTATAGAAATAATGATTTTTATATTTTAACTGTATAAAGCCCTATCAATGTTTATGCAAAACGCATGAATGGACCTTCAACGCATTTTAAGTTCAAATCGAATACTGTATGAATTTTCTTTAAATAATCTCACTCAGTCACCCTGGTGCTTCGTCTCTTCTATCTATGCTATTCACTCCTGTATTTGGTGTAGATTTATTTTGACCTTGCCTTCCACTTTAGTGAATGAAACCTTTATTCTGGAAAACAATTGCATTTTAAGGTAATCTTGTAATGTCCATGTCCACACCACTCTGCCCTCATATTTTATAGCGGTGCTGATGTGAAATTTGGCTTACATATTTAAACTTGCTATAACTTTTTTTGAAGGGTAGACAGAAGAAAATTTGGCCTGGGGCCCTATCCTTACAAAAAATTATAAATAATATGAATATTAACCAAAATAAGAAAAACATTAGCAATTTAGTGTTTGTAAAATTATCAAATACAAGTAATAATAATGAAGAAAATTTTCAAGGACAAAAAACAATTCCGCAAACAACTTTAACTTAATGTTTCTATTACTAAATATTCAGTCAGGAATAAAGTTAACGAGCTACTTTTAATAATAGAACTAAACAAATACCCAACATTTTATTAGAGGAGAGGGTGGAGGGTTTGAACACTTCGGTCTTTTGTATATAACATTTTATTAGGTCTTTGTGTGTTAAGCCATACATTGTTCCTTAATATACATATATTTTCTATTAAACCAGAGTTAACTTTTATAAAAATTTTAAAATAATTATCTAAACAACCCCACTACATTTGTCTAAATCCTCCCTTGGCTGGTGTGCCTTTGAACAGAAAAGGGGAGGTTTTGAACACTTCCAGAATGAGCTCTAAAATAAAAAAAAATATGCAGGAAAGGCCAAATACATTTATTTACTAAAGCTAAGTAACATTTAGGTACATATTTTATCTTTAATCAAATTTATCAAAACACACATCATTAAATCTGAATATTTTTGTAGTTCGCAATGTGCCACCAGTGATTGAGGATTGATGTATCTTTAAAATAATGTCTGACACAGAAATAAGAGACACGTCATCTACTGCAATGTTGCATTGTCCCATTTCAGTGCAAATTTGCCTTGTGATAAAATGTTAATTTCAAAACACTTATAAAGAGATTTTTACTAGCTCAGTGAAATTTAATATCAAACATTACTTACCTTTAAAAATTAAAAGAAATAAATGAGCACATTGACCATATTTTTCTCAGTCGTGAATTCGGCTTTTCTAATAGACACCTTTGGGGTAATAATTTTCTAGGAAATGTTGGGCACCAATAATTTTATTTTTTTTTATTTTTAAAAGCTAGTGAGAATTATAAACTCTAGCTTTATCAAAGAAAGAAGTTAATAAAAACTTATACAGAATTTAATTTGAGTAAAAGAGAATTGTTATAACCTTTAAAAAATAAGATTCAACATATATACTTATAAAAATGAACTATTTTATTTAGATAAAAAAGAAACTGTTCAGAAACAAATCATTTAAAGTTTATCAGGTATTAATTTTTAATCTCGTCATACATAAAATTAGCCACTAGTAGTTACCACTTTAGTCTAATCTTTTTCTTTGTCTTTGTTCTTTATTCTGTAATATAAAGCTGTGTGTTTTACATTGTTTTGTTCAGCAGCAACTCGCAAAGAAATCTTTCTATCGACCACATCATTTATTGCCTTCTGCATGTCCGCTTCATTGAATTCGACTCTCTTGCCCTTTTTCTTGTATACTCGGGGTATATTGATGTTTTACCACTGAAATAAAAAAGTAAACATATTTAGGTATCAATTTAAAATAATATTTTCTATTGGGGATGTTTTGAACAGTCTGGGCAGGCTTTGAACATCGTTCAAAGTCTCCCTAGGCTTGTAGTTCGAAGCCTCCCGATGGCACTTTTTCTCAGAAAAAATTGAATTACATTTCATGCTTTTGAATATTTAAATATAACTGTTTTGTAAACTTACCTCAAAAATATAGGGATATGCTCAAACAATAGAACAATTAAACAGCATTGACAGATTTAAAAATATATATGTTGTAAGGATAATCAAAATAAACAAGGAATTTGATGAAAATATATTGACCAAACATCATCTGGTGAATCCGCACGTACCTAATGACAGGCGAAGAGAACACTGTCGCCAGTTCATTCCTATTTTCACATATGACAAGAAAATTTTTTAGTAGAAAATATTGTAATTGTTCAAAACCTCCTCGTGTTCAAACTATCCACCCTCTCCCCTAATTGAACACTGGTTGGAAGAAAAATAATATTTATACAGGGTGTTAAAAAAAAGTGTCACAAAATGAAATAGTGAATAGTATGACCCAAAATAAGCAGAAAAGTCTTAATAAATATATGATCGCAAATTAACGGTTTCGGAGATACGGACCATTTTGTGTTTATAACAATTTTTTATTATTATAAAAAAACAATGATATTTATAAACAATCAATAACAACATAGAGTTAAATGAGATGTTCAAAGTGCTCTCCCTCCATTTCAATGCATTGCCATTTGCACGACCGTACATAAAATGCATGTCAGCTAATTCAATATTAGTGTAAACAGGCATAACGAAAATTTATAAAATTATTCACCCACAACAAAATAATAACTGCAAATAGTATCTATGAAAAAACATCGGTAGACTCCGATAAGAAAAGCAAGTTTTTGAGAATGAAAAAGAATCAAAAAATGATACAAAACACAAAACACTCCGTATCTCTGAAACCATTCATTTGCGGACATATGTTTATTAAGACTTTTCTGCATATTTTGGCCCATACTACCCCCCGTTTTATTTTGTGACACTTTTTTTTAACACCCTGTATATACCTAATTACTCATTTCTTTATTTGCTAGAAAAATATTTGGCCATGGGGGTACTTACTGCTATTTTGGTCCATGATTCAATATTAGATAACCTAAAATTTGATACTATAAAATTTGACAAATTACTTGAAGAAAAACAATTTGAATTTTCAGTATGTTTTAATAAAATAAATATAGGTATACATCATATCGTCGCCCTTATCACGAAGTGACCTAACTGTGTCCTATCTGCAATAACACAGAATATTTTCCTCACAAACTGTTCTAAAAAATCCCGAGGGAGTTTGGCTAATCTGGAATTACCAAACAATATAACAAGGCCTTAATATTCCATGATAAAATTTTGAAAGCGCAAACTCTAAATCCCTCTATATTATGTCAACCTGAGAATTACGTATTTTCGTTTTATTGCTCTCCTGTAAAATTTACTATTTGCTACTTATGCCACTTCATGAGAAGGGCGACAATATGTATTTATAGATCTCTAAAAACTAGCATTGAAAAGTTATACAGATGAATTGATATTAAAAATTCCTAAAAATTGTGATATTATATTAGCTGGGGACTTAAATACTAATTTTGAAGAATGTGAAAATAATTATGTAA